GCCGCCACCGCCGCCTCCCCCCGACTGCGGCTCAGGCGCGCGCGGGCGGAGGAAGGAGGCAGCGAAAGTTGGGCAGGAAACTTTTGGCCCCGCCCCCTCCGCGCCACCCGCCCCGCCCGCCTGGCGATCCGCTATCTGCCTCAGTGCTGACCCCTTCGGCGGCTATTCCCGGGGTGAGGTCCACGAAGCCCCACCCACACCCCGCCCCTCTCAGCACTATCCTAGCTCTCTATTGGCTGCCTAATTGAATATGGAATAGCAGGGGCGGGGCAGGGGGGAAATACTGTAATCTCCGCAAGTAGCAGCGTGCGGGCTGGCAGCCCAACCCGGGTCAATTTAGCTCCCTGAGCCTTCAGGCAGCTCAGTACCTACCCAGCATAATCAATCTGGTCGAGGGCTGTTATCGCCTTTCTTCTGCCTTGTTCTTTACAAATCTCCAAATAGTTCACTTTTCTTTTTATATTTCCCTTCCTTTCTTATACTCTTTTAGACTATTATCTCCTGTGTCCTTCGTCTCTCAGTTGGTCTAGTATTTCTTTATGGTTCTTTGTCTCTGCCTCTCTGTTTTTCTCTGTGTGTGCCTATCTTTTTAACTCTTTTATTTTCGTCTCATCTGATGTTTCTCTTTTTCCCCTACCCCATCCCCTTCCAGACGCGCGCGCACTCTGTCTCACACACATACACGCGCGCGCGTTTCTGACTCCCACCTCTCCCTATCACCTAGGACCCTCCCCCTCCTACTTAATTCCTTCCATCTGCAGAATCGCTTTGCTGGCCGGCTGCGCCTAGGGGGGCCCAGGTTCCTGCCCCAGGAAAGACTCTCCGCCCCCTTCCTCCTCCCCTCTCCCTTCTCTTATTTCTGCCATGGGCCCGCCTTGTTTCTCACTCCTCTTCTTCGCCCCAGCTCCGGCCCCAGCCAGCCCCAATGTCTTGGAGAATCGCCAGGACCCCTAGCCCAGGCTAGGATCTCAGAAAAGCTGCTGTCACCCACCTCCCTGGAACACTCGAGCTAGTTAAGTCTGGCTAGGGGGATCTCGCCTGCTCCTCCACCTGATGCTCCCAGCACCCGGGAGCCTTCACCGTCTTAGTCTCGGGGTACTCTGTGCTGCACCAGAGCTGGGGACCTAGTAGGTCACCTCTCCCATCTCCAGTCTGGCTCTTCCGCCCAGCGTTGGTGGGCCAGCTGGGCCACCTTCCCAGCTTCCTCTGGGAGCAAGCCTGGTTTTTCCTCTGTATAATGGGAAGGGTCATCACCTTATCTCTGGGGATGTTTGTGTGTTTACCAGCTTGGGCTTGGTAAGCAGAAGATATTCCACAAAGGTCAGCTCTCAACTATCCCCTTCCAGGAGAATTCCTCCCAATAGCGATTTTAGGCAGGGCACCTAAGCACACCTGCGGATTCTTGGACCAGAGGGCCTTGGGTGATCAACAAGTGCTGCCCTCCTACCAACCAAGAACCCTTTATCTCAGATCTCCATGTTTGTAAAAATTTTGTCTATAAAACAATTTGCAATGATTGATACAACTGATAGCACATATACTAATCATATCTTAATATTTTTATTCATCAAAGACACATCTAGATAATACCCTTTACATATATATATATTTTTTTTTTTTTTGAGACAGCCTCAATTCTGTCACCCTAGGTAGAGTGCTCTAGCATCATAGCTCACAGCAACCTCAAACTCTTGGATTCAAGAAATCCTCTTGTCTCAGCCTCCCCACTAGCTGGACTACAGGTATGCTATCACCACACTTGACTAATTTTTCTATTTTTAGTAGAGCCAGGGTCTCCCTCTTCCTCAAGCCAATCTGGAACTCCTGAGCTCAAGCAATCCACCTGCCTCAGCCTCCCAGACTGCTAGAATTATAGGCATGAGCTATTGCACTAGGGCCCCGTTTATATTTTTAAACAGTGTTAAACCTTTTTGTTTTAACAGAGGATACATATCTGATTGAAATAAATGTTATAAACATTTTACTCTAAAAATATTTAGGTCATCCCTGGATCTCTGCTACTGTCTTTGGGCTTCCAAGGACCTGGAACATCTGATCCAGACGTTCCCTAGATTATATAGTAAAAACTGTAGTTCAGAGGAGGGATATTGTCCAATTATGCAAGCAGATAGTCGGGGAGCCCAGAGGAGACCCTGAGGCACTCAGCCCCAGACCAGAGTTCTCCATCTCTGCCCTCTACTCACCTTCTAGATAAAGGTGGCCCCGTTATGTGGAAGTGCTGACATTTTCCCTAGTGTAGGTTACAAATTCAAATTCCATTAGAGACAGGAAGGTAACCACTAGGTAGTGATGGGACCTGTGGAGAACTAAAATGCTAGCCAAACAAAATACCTCTGTCATGTCCTTAGCCTGAGACTCAGTCTGGAACCTGCGTAGAGAGACACCTTCTCTGGACCTTTCCTGTCCTTCATAATAATTTGATGCTATGAGTGTGCCTGTCAGACCTAGTGACCACACTGATGGCCCTCACCCCTTTCTTCCCACACGCACCTCCATTCCCATAGTTTCCGCACAGAGCCTAGTATACAGATAATAGATGACAGAGAAATAAATATGTGCTAGGTTGATGATGGGTGAATGGAGAGATGGGTGGATGGATGGATGGGTGGATGGATGGAGATGGCCAGATTATACTCCCTTTTGAAGCCTGAATGGCTTGCGTGGTTTTATACTTTTCTCTCTCCCCTTGCCATAGCACATCTCAACCTGTGGTCTTTGTATCCAGTAGGTGATCAATAAGTATGAGCAACTTATAGGCAGCTTGCTTGGATAGCTGTGGATTGACCTAAGGTTAGTTCCTAAGCCAGCTGCTGGGGATGTATGCTGCAGGGTTCCCTGAGACAACATGTCCTATGTGATGAGGGTAGTATTTGTGAGTGACCAGATGAGTATCAGAGGCCTAAATACCAGACCAGAAGACTGGGACAAGCCCAAATTCTGTGCCTTCCTACTCTATCATATATACACTAAGATTTCTTGCATTTAAAAAGTCAAAAGTTCTACTAGGTGTAGAATATAAATGTCTTAACACAATAACTAAGAAAATGCCATGAAGGTTATGTTGACCAGTTTGATGAAAGGATTTCAAATTGTATGTAAAACCAGTACATTGTACCCCATGATTGCATTAATGTACACAGCTATGATTTAATTAAAAAAAAAAGTCAAAAGTTCTACCCCAAGCCTTCACTTTACTAAGGAGGAGGCATCATGGCCCAGAAAAGGAAAGGGACTTGCCTAGCGTCACCCAGTGAGCCTGATAGCTAAGCCAGCTGCTCCTAGCCCATTGCCAAATCCTAGCTCTCCCTTCATTGGTCCCATTCTGGAGGATTCCTAGTGTGGCAGAGTGGCCCCAGATACTATCCTCAGACCTGAAGGTAGGAGAGAACTCCCAGGCAAGGTTCAAGTTCCTAGTCCCTCCCTGTTATCCAACCCAGGTCTCTAGAATGAGATGCTGAAGAGGAAGATAGGATTTGGAGGAAGGAAGCCTGGCTTAGTGACTGCGGGCAGGTCTCTGTCTGTCTGTAGACTTCACACCTGTCAGTTATCAATGGGAATGTTGATCCCGTCCCTGCCAACTGCTACAGAGATGGGTAGGGCCAAATGAGGATGAGAATAGGAAAGTGCTGTCCTAGCTGGGGGTAAGCAATCACATGGGGAGGGAGGGTGGGATTGATAATTTCAACAACAGTAATACTCATCTGGAGAGATTGGGAAGGAGAGAACAAGTAGGAAAATGTCTGTTTCTAAACATACCCAGGCAACAGGTCTGATATACTCAAGAGTAGCAATAGTAGCTCAGGAAAGAAGAGGAAAGGCCAAGTTTTTATAAGAGGGTCACCCTGCAACATGACCTCAAAGGCAAGCAGAGATGAGAAGGGGAAGAAGATGGAGCTTCCTGATCCTGGTGAATTGATACTGTTTTTTTAAAAATGCCTAATGGTGACTTAACATGCAAAGGAACCCTAAACTTCTTGAAACTACCCCGCATTCCATGTGTCAGGAATGAACAGTAAAATATCTGCTGGCAGGGCTAAGATTTGCCTCTCCTCTGGGCCACAGCTTGGCATTGGGCTCTCCCAGACTATGTGTTGACACAGAAGGTGTCAGTTTACAGCAGAGATGGCAAAATGGCAAATGCTCTCCTTGCATGAACCATCCCCTACCCAGGACTCGGACATCGTTGAGTGCTAAACTCCTTCCCAGGCAGGACTTCCCCTCCTCCATACCCTACCCAGGTTGCCACAAACAAGAAGCTAGATTTGACTCAGAAGATGCTAATTATTTGCCGCTCTAACCTTATGTCCACCTTCCTGGGGCATTCTCTAACCCAGGGGTGGGGAAACTTTTCATGTGGGAAGGCCACATGAACTTAGTTGTAATCAAATAAGGCTGCCGTCAAGAAATTCCAGATATTCTTAAAATGTAGATTATTTTGTAAAAATCTAACTATTTGGTACTTAATGATTTCAAAAAGTGAAAACTATTTGTTAAAGTTAACTTTTTAGTGACTTTGTTGTGTCTGCTTTTTATGGAAAGCATTTTAATAGTGGGTTGCAGCATGGAGGGCTGTGGTTTTAGCTGATCCTCTGAGGAGCAATCATTTGTGAGCCTAAGAGTTTCTTGATTTGGATTAGGTAGGAGAATGTAGATTCCCAGTAAGAGATTGAAAAGCAAGAAAGCATTTCTTAGGCATGTTGCCAAAGGCATGGGTATTCTGTCTTCATTATTCCATATTTCAAGTGGATCTTTCTTAGCATCAGCGCCTTTAAAATGGGCTGGGCGCGATGGCTCATGCCTGTAATACCAGCACTCTGGGAGGCTGAGGCAGGTGGATTACCTGAACTCATGAGTTCAAGACCAGCCTGAGCAGGAATAAGAACTCATCTCTAAAAAAAAATAGCTGGGTAGGGAGACTGAGGCAAGAGAATCACTCAAGTCCAAGAGTTTGAG